ACCGGGTGCCCTCTGCCAGGCCCCTCACCGGGTGCCCTCCCCCAGGCCCCTCACCGGGTGCCCTCCCCCAGGCCCCTCACCGGGTGCCCTCCCCCAGGCCCCTCACCAGATGCCCCCTGCCAGGCCCCTCACCGGGTGCCCTCCCCCAGGCCCCTCACCGGATGCCCCCTGCCAGCCCCTCACCGGGTGCCCTCCCCCAGGCCCCTCACCGGGTGCCCCCTGCCAGCCCCTCACCGGGTGCCCCCTGCCAGGCCGCACTGATGTGGGTAAATCCCACGCCCCCCTCCTCAGAAGCAGCAGTGACTCCTCCAGGGGACTGGGCGGCTCAGGGGACAGCCCGCCTCACTCCACAGCTGCTGCACCCCCTCCTCCCGGGCTCTGCGCCAAGGGCAGCACTTGTCCACCCGGGGCCCTGGCCCTGCCATGTGCCCTCCTGGGCTCCCCCTGCGAACCCACTTCACCAAGCGCTGTGCTCATGGCACCTGCCCAGAGGGACTGCGGAGGCCACCCAGCTCCCGGCGCCCAGCGCCCAGCTCCCAGCTCCCAGCTCCCAGTGCCCAGCTCCCAGCTCCCAGCTCCCAGTGCCCAGCTCCCAGCTCCCAGCGCCCAGCTCCCAGCGCCCAGCTCCCAGCACCCACCACCCCGCTCCCGGCGCCCAGCTCCCAGCTCCCACCACCCCACTCCCAGGGCCCAGCTCCCAGCTCCCAGCACCCACCACCCACCTCCCACCTCCCATCTCCCACCTCCCACCTCCCAGCTCCCGGCGCCCAGCGCCCAGCTCCCAGCTCCCAGCTCCCAGCTCCCAGCGCCCAGCTCCGAGCACCCACCACCCCGCTCCCGGCGCCCAGCTCCCAGCTCCCAGCTCCCAACTCCCAGCTCCCAGCTCCCAGCACCCAGCACCCACCTCCCACCTCCCATCTCCCAGCTCCCAGCACCCAACACCCAGCTCCCAGCGCCCACCTCCCACCTCCCACCTCCCAGCGCCCACTGCCCAGCTCCCAGCGCCCGCCTCCCAGTGCCCAGCCCCTCCTCCCGCTGCCCTGTACTCCGGAGGGCGCATTTCCAGACATCAGTCACTAACACGCACACGTTCCCGCTATGTCCCCCACAGGAACGTCCTCCCTCGCTGAGCCCCCAGCTCTCCCGGGGCCACGCAAACGTGTGGAATGAGTGGCGTGAACCCAGCCTGGGCCCCACGCGGCCCTGAGGGCAGGGGTGCTGGGCAGGGGACAGGATGCCACCAGGGGAGGTGAGAGGAGGGAGCCTGGAGCGGGCAGTGGCCGTGGGCAGACATTCCCAGCACCGAGCACAGCCGAGCCCGCTGGGCGGGGCTGGAACCAGAGTCCCCGCTGTGCCCAGGGAGCACCGCCCCGCCCCGCGGGCACCCGAGCTCTCAGCAGCTGCCGCCTCCTGCCCGCCCCCCCACCAGCTCCAGACCGGGGTCCCCCCCAGCCTCCTCCCCCGCCTCCACCACGGTGCCCAGGAAGGCCCTTCCGGTAACGTCCTTAGACGGAGCTTGTGGAAGCACAGCCAACGCCGCCAGGGGTTCCACTGTGCGTGGCAGACGGACACCGGTCACGCGTGTCCGGCATGTTCTGCAGGGCTGAGACCAGCGCAACCTGGGGGGACGCTGTGGGTGACAGCCCCTGGGGCCACACACTAGCAAAACCTTTGGGGGTATCTGCTTAGCACATGCAGACCGGGGCCCAGCAGGCCCTCGGGGTGCCACCCACAGACACACGTTCTGCCCCACGTGGCGCCGCCCAGAACGCTGGGCAGCAGTGTGAGTGCCCCGCCCCAGGCTGCCTGGACGCAGCCGGTGCTGGGGTCCCCCAGAACGCCAGCCGGCGTGAAGGCCCCTGGCCTCGGGGCAGACGCAGAGCTGTGTCGCCATCACTGCTCCCCCAGTGACAGGAGCCCGGGGTGAGGTGAGGTTGTCCTGGTCCCTCGGAGGCGGGAAGAGGGACCGTGTCTCCAGCCGGCTCCCGCCGTCAGGAATCTACCCACGTGCGGATGGATGGATGATTGGGACGGAGGGAGGCGACAGGACCACAAGGCAAGCGGGGCCCAGCACTGCTGAGGCAAGGTGGCACAGGGGTCCCTTAAATGCTCGAAGCTGTAAACCACCATCTATATAAAGAGGGAATGAGCTAATAGGTCCTAATGGTGTCCCAGTCACGACCACTCAGCAGGCTGGGTGCGCACAGGAGCTGGTGGGCAGGGACCGAGGCAGGGACTTGCGCCACCAGGACATGAGGCTGCCCCCGGGGGCGGCCCCCCCCGGTGGAGGTGCACGCAGGCCCGCTGTGCCACCTGGCCCAGGGCTGGGGCGTCGGGACAGGGTGGGGCTTTGGCCAAGAGCTCTCAGCACTCCTGTGCTGGGGTCTGAAAGGGTGGAGAGGAAGGGAGAGCAGATGGGCAGTTAGGGGGATCAGGTCAGGAGTGGAGAACAGATGGGCAATTAGGGGGATCAGGACAGGTGGGGAGAGCAGATGGGCAGTTATGGGGATCAGGACAAGAGGGAAGAGCAGATGGGCAGTTAGGGGGGGTCAGGTCAGGAGGGAAAGAGCAGATAGGCAGTTAGGGGGATCAGGCCAAGAGGGGAGAGCAGTTAGGGCCATCAGGCCTGCAGGGGAGCAATTAGGGGCATCAGACAGCCAGGAGAGCAGTTAGGGGCATCAGGCAGGCAGGCAGGTGAGCGCTTAGGAGCCAGTGGTTCTGGATTGTGAGAGGAACCCCAGATTGAAGAGGATGCAGGCCAGGCTGAGGGACCCCCACCCCACCCCCGTGCACAAATTCAGTGCACCAAGCCCCTGAATATGAAAATAAAGCCAATGGCCACTGAGGGCGGTGGGGGCTCGCAGAGGCCGAGGGCCGCCCTGGGGTGTCGGTGCCCTGCAGCTGACCCCGTTTCTGCTCCTAGAACAATCCCAGCGGAGACAGGAATGCGGGTGCTCCCGGCGTGGGCGGGTCCCTGCTGCCCCAACCGGAAATGACTCCCACGCCGCGCAGGGAAGCGCGGGAATGCACGGGTCCCGTCACCCGGTGCAGTTCCACGGAAAAGGAGGCGCCAGACCCTCCGCTCCTTGCCGCACCCGGGAAGCCAGACACCAAATACGTGGGGATCCGGGCAAGGGCAGGGGCGGGACTTGGGGTGACTAGAGGTGCCGGGCTGCTGGGAATTGGCGCTATTCCGGCGGATCCAGTGCCTGCTTGGGTTGTGGGCCTACGCTGAGCTGAACACTTAGAATTTGTGCCCATTCCTGTACCCATGAAATATTCCAGTAAAAAGTAAAAAAAAAAAAGTCCAGAAAGAAAAGGCTCCTATATGCTTTTTAAAAATAAAAGACAAAATTCAGCATTCCATGGTGGGCACTAGGCCGGAGGGATGCAAAGACAGGAAGCTGGCCGGCATGGCTCAGTGACTGAGCATTGACCTATGAACCCGGGGGTCACAGCTCAATCCCCGGTCAGGGCACATGCTTGGATTGTGGGCTCAATCCCTAGGAGGAGGTGTGCAGAGGCAGCCGATCAATGATTCTCCCTCATCATTGATATTTCTCTCCCTCTCTCGCTCGCTCTCTCTCTCTCTCTCTCTCTCTCTCTCCCTTCCTCTCTGAAATACATACGTGTATATAGATGGATAGGTAAACGTATACATAGATGAGGAGATATCCCAGCCTCTGGGGATCATGGCATCCATGGCAGGAGCCTGGCAACACCATGGAGCTGGGCTGTGAGGGACCAGCTGCCTGGCATCACCTTCCTCACCAGAGAGCAGGGCCGGTGCCCACAGTGCCCGGAGGACCCCAGCAGACCCACAGCCTCAGGAGGCTCCCTGGACAAAGGGCTGGCACATACAAAGCCTGGTGACATGAGCCGACGCCCGCCTGCCCGGGCCCACCTAGATACGGCGCCCGCGGCTCCAGCGCCACCCTGGTGGCAGGGAAGCCCCAGCTGCCACCACAGCCGAGAGCCCAGGCCGGCCCCCTCCGGGCCAGAGGAACCGCCATCCTGGGACGTGCGGTGAGGCGCTCAGAAATCTGCTCCCCATCGATGTTCCCAACCGGCAGGGAGGAGGCCCGGCCAGCCCTGTCCGCATTCCTCCACAGGGCGGCCGCACCTCCGGCCTGGCGCCGACCCACATAGCTGGGCGCTCCGTGGGCACCGGGGCCCGGAATCCGAGCCGGGCACTGTGCCAGGGGCTCCCCCCACGGGGGCTCCCCCCACGGGGGCTCCCGCGGCCCGGGCAGCCCCTCCGGCCGGCCCTGGCAGGCCCCGTTGGGCAGCCTGGCTCTGGAATTCTCGTGAACAAACACGACCCGGGCGGGACACCTGTGTGCCTGCCGGGCGCTGACGCTCCGGCCCGGGAACTCTTTCCTAAACACGAGGGAGGGGAAGAACAACAAAGGACACGGGGACGAAACAGCTGTGGGCCAGGCGAACTTTCAACCCACACCCTCGGCCCACGGAGGCCCGGCCTACACCCTGGCCAGGCTCCAGCAGAAACTGGCTCGCCGCAGAGGCGGCCGGGCGCCCTGGCCACGGAGGAAGACCACAGCACAGCGGCGCGGCCACCAGAGCCGGCCACGCCCGGCCGGGCCCGATGTGCGGACAGCAGCTGGGGCCGTTGGCCAGTCCCCGACATCAGTGAATGTTCTAGCAGAGAGAGGAGGGCTGCCTTCATACGCCCCCCAGAGGGGCAGACACTCCCCGCTCCCAGCCAGCAGGTCAGGACTGGCCTGAGCCGGGGTGGGGGCGGAGGGGGTGATGGGGAAGGGGGGACCAAGGCCTCCGGACAGGGGCCTTGAGTGCACTCCATTTCCAACAGACAAGTCCCGGGTGCCAGGGGAGGGAAGGAGGGCCTCGGGGTGTGCGGGCGGGCGGAGGGCTCCACAGGGAGGCCCGTGTGGGGAGGCCGGGGCGGAATCAGGCTGTGCGGGAGGCGGCCCGGAAGGCGGGGCCCGAACAGCTGCCCGGGGCGGGGCCGGTTTATAGCAGCCGCCCGGGTGCCGGCCACACTGGAACCACCCACCGAGCCACCGCGCAGCATGCTCCCTGCCCTGCTCCTCCTGCCCGGCCTCCTGGGGGCCGCCCTGGCCGGCCCCGTGCAGGGCTCCCCGGAGTGCACCCGGGGCTCTGCCGCCTGGTGCCGGGACCTGCAGGCCGCAGCCCGGTGCGGCGCCCTGGGGCACTGCCGGAGCGCCGTCTGGAGCAAGCCCAGCGCCAGGACCCTGCCCTGCGACGTCTGCCTGGACGTGGTGGCTGCCGCCGGCAACGGCGCGAACCCCAACACCACCGACGCCGAGGTCCTGGCGCTGGTGACCAAGACCTGCGAGTGGCTTCCCGTCCAGGACGCTTCGGCCAGATGCAAGGAGATGGTGGACGCCCACGGCCCGGCCGTCCTCAGCATGCTGGGGGGGCCCCCGGGCAGCGCCCCCCCGCAGGTGTGCACCGCACTCACCCTCTGCCGGCCGCTGCAGAGCCTCCCGGCGGCCACCCCGGGGCCGCTCTCCGAGGAGGACACGTCCGAGCTGGCCGCCCCCTTCATGGCCAACGGGCCGCTCAGCTTCCACCTCCCGCCCATCCCTGAGGACCCCGTGTGCCGGGACTGCGTCGGGCTGGTCGCCCGGCTCCAGGAGGCCGTGGGCTCCAACGTGTCGGCGCTGGCGGACGCGGTGACGCGGGAGCAGTGCCGCTCCCTGGGGCCCGGCCTGGCGCTCGTCTGCAGGGACTACATGCAGCGGTTCCTGGGCCCCGGGGACCACATGCTGAGGCTGGTGCTGCCGGAGGAGACCTGCGAGAGGGGCGGCTTCTGCGAGGCGCTGCCCGGGCCGGCCGAGCCCGCCGCCCCCGCGCTGGGGCCGCTGTCCGCGGGGCGGGGGCCGGAGGCGCAGATGCAGGCCGGCCTGACCTGCGACGTGTGCCTGCAGGTGATCCACGAGCTGGACCGGTGGCTGGACTCCAACAGCACCGAGGCCCTCATCAGCCAGGCGCTGGAGCGCGTGTGCGGTGTGATGCCCGCCTCCATCGCCCAGCAGTGCGTCACCATGGTGGACGCCTACAGCCCCTCGCTGGTGGAGTTCGTGACCCGGGTGCCCCCCGAGAAGGTGTGCAGGGCCGTCCGGCTCTGCGGCGGCGAGGGCGGCGGCCGGCGGCGGCGGCGGCACGCCCGGCCGCTCCTGGGGCCCCGCGCCACCCTGCTGCCGCCCCTGCTGGACCGGGACAACCAGGGCAGCTTCTGCAACGGCTGCAAGCGGCTGCTGGGCGTGTCCTCCCGCAACCTGGAGCGCAAGAGCACCAGGCGCGGCATCCTGCAGGCCTTCAAGGGCGGCTGCCGCATCCTGCCGCTGCCCTACATGATCCAGTGCAACCGCTTCGTGGACGAGTATGAGCCCGTGCTCTTCTCCACGCTCTCCGAGGTGATGGACCCCGCCCTGCTGTGCGCCAAGGTGGGCGCCTGCCACGCGCCCCGCGCCCCGCTGCTGGGCACCGACCAGTGCGTGCTGGGCCCCAGCTTCTGGTGCGCCAGCCCCGAGGCCGCCCAGATGTGCGACGCCCTGGAGCACTGCCAGCGCTTCATGTGGAAGATGAGGCCCTTCAACTCCGGGGAGCCCGAGTGCCCCCCCAGGGCGGCCCCCGCACCCTGAGCCCCGGGGGGACTGCCCTCCAGCTTCCCGGCCGGGGACCGAGGCGCGGGGAGGAGGCGGGCCGGGAGCAGGCCGAGGCGCCCATCCCCGTCCTCACCGACCACGATGCCGTGGCTCTGCCCTGTAAGTCTCCCCCAGACCGGGACAAGCTGCCGGGCCCGGCCCCGCCCCGGCCACCGGCCCCGCAGCCCCCGTCGCTGTGCTGGGCGGACAGCGGGCCCGTCGCGGCCGGTGGTGCCCGCTCCGCACCCTGCTGATGGACGCCTGGCTGGGAGCCCGGCTGGCTGAGCGGGAGCAGGGGAGGGGGCGGGGCAGAGGGGCCATCACAGGAGGGCCCGTCCCTCTTGTCCAACAGCTGGGGGCGGGGCTGTGTCTCCTCCACGGCCACCCCCCACTGCTCAGGCCAGCGCTTCTCGTCCCGGGGTCCTTGGGGTGGGGGGGGGGTGTCTCGAAGGTGTGTGAGGTGTGTCTGTGGGCCATTCTGGGGAGGAGGCTGGACTCTGCATCTCCCAGGGGTGCCGGGCTCCCCAGTCCTCCCCCCGCCTCAGCCCACGGGCCCCCAGACACCCCGCCGCCCCGGTCCCAGGCAGGGGAAGCCTGCACTGCCCTACGAGGAGAGGAAAGCGTGCCGGGTCTGGGGTGGCTTCTGGGCTGGGAGCCTTTCGGTGATGAGCAAATCCTCCCCCCGTCGGAGCCTCAGTGTCCGGTCTGTAGAACAGGGGGATCAGACACGTCTTGTGAGGATGGTGACACAATCCAAGGAGTTTCTCCCACAGGGACCACACCGGTCCGTCCGCCGGGCCCCACCCCCGGCTCAGGTCCCGGAGAGTCTGGCTGTGCAGGCGCGGAATAAACGGAGCTTCTCCCAACGCCGCCTGCCGCGTCCTCATTCCGGCAGGCCTGCTCCCGCCCCCATCGCCCTCTCTGCCTCCCGGTGTCCCCTCCTGCGGGAAGCCCTCCTGGACTGGCTTAGCCACCCGATGTTTCTCCCTGTGCTGCATCGCCATCGGTCTCCTGTACCCCCACCCCTGGGGACAGCATGGGGGAGACCCCGCTGTCTCTCCAGCCCACACAGGGGCTCAGACCTTTGTGTGTCCCGGAGGCCTGGCCGGTGACGCCCAGCAGCTGCCTTCAGACAAACGCTGTGGAACAGAGAGGTGCCAGCCCGGTAGGCAGGCCCTGAGCGGGTGCTCTTTGCCCAGAGGCTACGCCTGAGCCCTTAGTAACCGGCCCAGGCCCGACCACTGGCCCAGGACACGGACGAGCTGGGCCTGAGTTTCTGGGCTCCTCGGTGCTGGTTCACCTAGCTGGACTGGGGCCGGGGCAGCCCTGTGAGGACTGTCCAGGGCTGCGGGCCACGCTGCCCCCAACCCGAGGCCCAGATGTGGCCATGGATAGCGGCTCTGCATCCAATTCCACCACACGGTATCTGGGGATTTGAGGGCTTGCAAACGGGGTGGGGGTGGGGGGAAGAGCTGTGTGCAAACCACGGCCCCCAGGGCTGGCCCACGCCCCCAGGACTGGCCCACGGCCCCCAGGGCTGGCCCACGGCCCCAGGGCTGGCCCACGGCCCCCCGGGCTGGCCCACGGCCCCCAGGGCTGGCCCACGGCCCCCAGGGCTGGCCCACGGCCCCAGGGCTGGCCCAGAGGCTGTCCACCTGCCAGCAGTGTCCCCTCTCTGTGAGAGACGGGCTGCAGCCGCTCCTCTGACCTGGCGGGGAGGGTGGGGGACGCCTGCAGACAGCCGTGTGACGGTGCTCCCTGGGCTGTCACTAGTCCCGCGCGGCCGGCCTGTGAGAGGCCGGGGTGCCACCACAGCTCCCCGGGGACCCGCCCACACAGCAATGAGATGCCGTCCGGACCCTCCGCCCTGAGCTCACCCCCTCCCCAAACCAGGCGCCCCGGGCTGGGCGGGTCCCCGTGTGCCCCTTCCCTCCGTCCGCCCCCCAAGACTGGGCGCCAGGGACAACTGAGGGGAAGCTCAGCCGAGGCGCCCGGGTGTCTGTCCTCCAAGGACAGTGACAACGGCCCCAGCGGAGGCTCCCCACAGGGCCCGGCGGGCACTGCCCGGAGCTCCGCTGGACTCACGCCTCGCCCTCCACACCCCCGGGAGGAAGACCCCGCGGTCCTCCCCCTTCACAGCTCAGACACAGACCAGAGAGGCTCAGTGCCTGGCCCCAGGCCACACAGCCAGCGGGGGACGGAGCCAAGAGTCCAGCCCTGCGTGTCGGACCCTCACACCCACCGTACCCAAGAGGCTGGAGTTCCAGTCCCAACTCCCCCACCTGTGACCTGGGCCTCGGGATTCTCATTCCTGAAATTCCTCCAGGGGCCTCTGGCCTCCGGAAGAGCGGGGTCCTCGCCAACGGTGACGAGGAGGAGGAGGAGGAGGAGGAGGAGGAGGAGGAGGAGGAGGACGACGACAACGAGGAGCGTGGGAGAGGCGAGCCGTCTCTCCATGGTCCAACCATACTGACTTCCTCTGAGTCTAGCAAATCTCCCTCCTAATCAGCACCTGGGGCTTCGGGGGGAGACACAGCCGGCTCCCCTCCCCGCGCAGCGACCCCCTTAGCCTCTCTCGCTGCTTGTCGTTTCCCTCCTCCAATTCCTTCCAGGTCAGAGGCCGGGGCGGAGGCCGAGGCCAGGAGGGGGCGGCAGGGACGCGGGAGCCCTGGAAGGGCCCCATGCAGCTGTGTGCAGCGGACGGAGGGCCAGCAGCGCCTCCCAGACTGGGGGCTCACGATGTCCCATCTCCCCAAACCCTCAGGCTCAGGGGAGCCGGGGCGAGCGCTGGGCACACACACTCGTGTGCAGAGACATTCTGCGGAGTCTTAATCCACCGCAGCCCGCGGCGGGGGACGGGACAGCCGCGCCTCCTCTGTCCTCCGCCTCCGGCTTCTCGCCCACAGCCCCCGCTCCGGTCCCGCTGTGGGAGCACTCTGTACACCGGCCGGGCGCGGGGACAGGCCGGCACAGGCCTCCCGCCTCCCGCGGCCGCCTGCCCTCGGAAGCCGGGACGGCTCTCTGGCTCTCGCCCGGCCCAGGAGGGCCTGGGGTGGCTCCGGCAGGTGCCGCCATCGGGAGGGGCCTGGTGTTAGGGAGCCGCACGTTTGGGCTGTGGGAGGGACCGGGAGTTTCGCCCCTCCCAGACCGGCTCTGCAGGCCGGCCCAGGAGGGAGCCGGGCCGCCCACCGGCTGCCTGTCAGCTGTCCCCCACATCCATCTGCGGAGAGGAGAGAAGGTGTGCGCGCTGCCCGCAGCCAGACCGGCCGGCCCGGGGGCTGCACAGCCAGCAGCCGCTCCCCGGCAGCCGGGGGGGACGGGGCATGGCTGGAGCGGGCGGCTGGCAGCTGCGGGGGATTTGGGTTTGGCAGAAGGTGGAATGAGGACGGATGGAGGCAGCCGGGAGGTCACACACAGCCCTCGGAATCCTGCCCCACGCGGGCCCTGCCTGCACCTGCCCACGCACCCCCAGCCCAGCCCCAGGGGCCAAGGTCAGGGAAGGAGGGGCAGTCCCTCCCTCCCGCCGATCCTGCACCCACAGGGACGGACGGCAGCCTGCTGGACAGGGGAGCCGGTGTGCGGGGGCGGGACCTCCGGCCTTCCCTGCACGCGCCTCTCCCTGCTCCCTGCTGGGGCCCTCCCGGGAGGCATTCCCGCCCCCCTCCCCAGGGAGAGGGGCCCGCCCGGGGGAAGGGCTGCTACCACGCACCCTCTCCGAGCCTCAGCTCCAGGCCGCGCGGGGAGACAGAGCCGTCCGCGGGCCACCTGTGCACGGGCCAGGACCTCCCCTGTCCCCCTGAACTGCATGAGAGTGACCCTGTGCTGCGTAAGCCACTGCGTTTATGGCAATTTGTTCCAGCAGCAGAGAGAGGAAACAAAAGAACGCCCCAGCTCCAGCCTGGCTCTTCACCCGGGGTCCCTTCCCCTCTGCACTGCCCTTCTCTGCCTGGTGAACTCCTATGCATCCTGCAGAACCCAATTCCATGGTCCCCCTTTGGGGTCCTGTCCCAGCGTGTCCTGGGGTAGGCCTGGCACCCCATCCCCGGGCTCAGCTGTGCTCCACACACGCCCCGGGGGGCGCCCCCCGGACTCCGTCCTCCCGTCTGGCGTGATGGTGACGATGCAATTTACAACACCTCCAGCCGGGGTCCTGACCTCAGCCATCTGTCGTTTTAAATTAAATCCTGATTAAATAGACTCAAACCCTGAGAGCATGTGTGTCGGCACCTCTCTCACTCCCTGTCTGCTCCGAGGCCTGTTTAAATCGAACGCCGTCTCCATGGCGATGCAGGCGCACACAGTGAGGCGCTGGCGGGGCACGCAGCCGGCGGAAGCCACCGGGACATTCAAGGTCGCGGGCTGCGGGGGGAGGGGCCCCCGGCCCCCCGAGCGGCCTTTCACTCACGCGGTCACCTTCGCGGCCAGCTGCGCGTCTGCGTCCGGCTCCGGGCGCCGTGGAGCCGGAGCGGAAACCAGCCCCATCGCCGCGGGGCCGGGGAAGAGTGGGGCCGGGGGGAGTGGGGCCGGGGGAAGTGGGGCCGGGGGGAGTGGGGCCGGTGGATGGAGTAGGGCCGGGGGGATGGAGTGGGGCCGGGGGGATGGAGTGGGGCCGGGGGGATGGAGTGGGGCCGGGGGGATGGAGTGGGGCCGGGGGGAGTGGGGCCGGGGGGAGTGGGGCCGGGGAGAGTGAGGCCGGGGGGAGTGGGGCTGGGGGGAGTGGGGCCGGGGGGAGTGGGGCCGGGGGGAGTGGGGCCGGGGGGAGTGGGGCCGGGGGGAGTGGGCCCAGCAGAGAGCGGTCCCCAGAGGAAGTGTGATGAGTAATGAACACGGGCTATGCCCGCACCAGGCCGGGAGCCAGGGGAGCGGGCGAGAGCCACGCTGCAGCCGTCTGGCCCTGAGATCACTGTCCAGAGCAGTCGGGCCCCGCAGCCCAGCCGGAGGCAGCGCTGCCCCAGCAAGGCCGGCTTTCCTCCTGAGAAGCCAGCGGTCTGCGAGGGCCACCGTACATCGGCTCCCCACGGTGCTCGCCCTGGGACAGGGAGAAGGCGAGCGACTCGCCTGCAGAGCTCAGCATGCGGAGGAGGGCGCCAGGGGCAGGCAAGGTGTCAGAGAGGGGGAGGCAGGCATTCTCCGATCAGGGGAGAACACAGACGCTGCGCTGGGTCTGACCACACGGGCCTGGCAGCAGCAAGAAGGGAAGCCGGCCCTGGCCCGGCGGCTCAGGGGCCGGAGCATCGTCCGTGCTCCAAAGGTTGTGGGTTCGATGCCCGGTCAGGGCAAGTGTGGGATGCAAACTGTCAATATTGATGTTCCTCTCTCTCTTCCTTCCTCTCTCTAAAAATCAATAGAAACATCCTCGAGTGCGGGTGAGAGGGAAAAGAGAAGATAAACAGTCATTGCACCCAGCGGGGGGCGGGGGGCGGGGTATTTTCTGGAAATGAGTGATGCTCCTGCCAGCGTTGCTAATAAAGGAGAAGAAGCGTCTGCACACAGAGACACGGAGAGAGAGGAACATGGGAAATTAGAATCTGTTGGTTTGCTCGGAGAAAAGCTAAATTTAGACGGTGCGCTGTTCCAGGGACGTGTCATGTTCTCTCCCTGGGTGCTCACGGCCCCACATGGGGTGTTTATCCCCTTCGTGGGGAAGGAGACTGAGGCTCTGGGGAGAAGGAGCCCCGCTAGGGTCAGGGTCAGGGTCAGGGTCAGGGTCAGGGTCAGGGTCAGGCTCCCACAGCCTGCTTCTGACGAATCCTGAGCCCGAAGCCCATCAACAAGGAGTGCAGGTCCCCAGGCCACGCGGCTGGCCCAGGTCAGTCCCCACCCCGCCTCAGCTCCCACGAGAACCGCAGCCAAGTCTAACCACACCCGACGCCGTCATGCAGGACAGGCCACACCGGAAGGACCGTGCGCCATTCCGACCGCGTTCCAGGTCGGCTCACTTCCCGGCTCACTGAGAGGAGGAGCTGCCGGGGCCCGGCCCTCGGATCCTCCGCCCCCAGACGCCGGCACGCAGGAGTGGGGTGACCACGGGGCTCAGGACCCACTCGGGGGGAGACAGGACGCCAGGGTCTCTGTCCACTCTGCAGCCAGGGGACCCATCCTCGGACACCCACCTCCGGGGACCCCCTGCCCGGCCGGCGGGGCTCCGTGGTTGCACACGGACCTGAACCGGGTCAGGGTTCCCGGTCAGGGCACAGGCCCGGGTTGTGGGCTCCATCCCCATGTGGGGCAGCAGGAGGCAGCCGGTCCATGACTCTCCCTCATCACTGATGTTTCTATCGCTCCCTCTCCCTCCTCTCTGAAACCAATAAAAAACACACCTATTTTTTTTTTTAAAGGGGGGCCCCACCCCAGGCGATTCCCTGCCACCGAGCCTGGAGCACAGCCTCACAGTGCGGCCAGGAGGACAGAGCGCGCTCACACCGCGTCCACTCCTGTCCCAACAACAAACCGCCTGACCCCCCCACCCCAGGGGCCGCCCGAGAGGGTCCCCCAGCCGGGCCCCTCCTGGTGGGCGAGCTGCTTCAGGCTCAGTGACAACCACCGGGTCATAAATTCCCGACCCAGCGGAGCAGGCCCGGCTCCAGTAACCCCAGCAAGAACCTGTGGCCAGGAGCCCTCGTGCTAACGGCCGGGCCAGAGCCGAAAGCCACCGGCTCCCGGGCTGGCACCCCCGGCGTTCGGCCGGCGTCCGGCCGGCGGCCGCAGGGCCGTGTGTGGGTGTCAAACAGAAGCAGCGGTGAGTAGTCCTCAGGCACCACGTCTGAGAACCAAGATGGTTCCGTGAGGAAGGGGAGCGGTGTGGCCGTGGCGGACACAGTCCCTGCCCGGGGACCGGTGGCCCCCGGGGGCCTGGCGCCTTGGGGAGCAGATGTAAACTGAGGGTGCGAGCCTCCCGACCGCACCCCTCGAGCCGCCTGCCACTTGGCCCCCAGCCACGTGTCAGAATCTCCCGCCCGGTCCCCGTCTGCCCAGCCTTCCTGCTGAGCCTGGGGGAAGGCAGCCGCCGACACCAAGGCCGTCGGCGGGGGCTGGACCCCAGGAGCTGCGCCCGGAGCTCGGAGCCAGGGAGCGGTACCGCCCTGGGTTCCCACCACGAACCCGGCCTCGGAGGGCGGGCAGGGAGACACCGGGAGCACCGAGGAGCCAGCCCGCGGTTCCAGCTGCCGTCCCCCAGGCTGTGCGCCCCGCGGCCGCGCCCCTCTGCTCCCCGCTCCCCCATTCGCCTTTTCCAGGGGAAGACGGGCCGCCGGCCGCCCACACGCAGGCTGCACCCCTTTGAGATGCCAGGAGGAAGGACGCCCTCGGCTGACTTACCGCCACAGAGAACTTTCCAGCACCTTCTCCGCGTCGGCGTGGTAGTACTTGGTGAGGATCAGGATCACCTGCAGGGGCGACAGGCAGAGGCAGGAATCAGTGGGTGCCCAGGGAAGGATCAATGACCCCCCGGGCTGGGGTCGCGGGTATCGGCTGCCCCCCCCCAGCCGGCACCCCCAGGCTCGGCCGCCTGCACTCGGGACACAGCCAGGAGCTGGTGCGGGCCCTGACCCCTCACTCCTGCCCTCCGAATGGCATCCCGGTCCTAGGAGGCCGCCCAATAGCTGCCCCTCAGCAGGAACAATTCACACCCAGCCCTGGACAGCCCCCAGCTGAGGGCAAAGGGCCCGCCAGGCGGTCCCAGGGTGATACAGGAAGCGGGGGCTCGGCCCCCTGGCACCTTGGAGAACCCGGACACCGGCCGCTGCAGCTGCAGGGGCTGCCCCGGGCCCAGCGCAGGCCAGCAGGGGGCCGTCAGGACTCCCCGGAACGGCCGGTGCTGAGGGCAGAGCCCGGGACAGCGGGTTGGGGGGGGCAAGCCAGGCAGCCAGATGGCCAGGGCCAGGCCAAAGGTCACCACACTGTGCACACATAACATCCATGTGTGTGCACAAGCACACACAGAGAGCACATGCACGCACATGCATGTGCAACGAGCACACATGCAGCACACACATACACATGCACACACAAAGAGCACGTGCATGAGTGAGCACACACATAAGGCATACACATACACACACACATGCACATGCACACACAGCACACACACATTCACACACACACACTCTCTCTCTTCATTGTTAAAACCATTCCCCCCACCTGGGCCCTGCCTGGGCCCTGTCACCGCAGGCCTGTGCAACGCACTGCTGATAGGAATGAAAACATGCGTGTTCGAGAGCACCCGAGTTCTCCCAAACAGACACAGAGCAGCGAGGACAGGAGGATTTGCCTGGGGGGGGGGGGGCGGTCACAGCCGCCCCCGGGTACCTGCCAGCCGCTGCATTGCCCTGCCCTTCAAATCTCCTTTCACTACTGCCCCTGGGCCCCTCCTAACACTCCGTTGCCATGGGAACCCGGGAGGCACAGTGGGAGCACTCAGCCTGGCTGATGTGGGGTCCCCGGAGCAGGGTGTCTCGCCCGGCGTGGCAGCCCGCGGGCTGGTGCTGCGAGCGGGGAGGTGAGCGGGTGTCACCGAGGAGACAGCGAGGATTAAAACCACGCTCCGAGGCGGCCCTGCTGCTGGGAGCAGAGCGGGTCCCTCCGCCCGCCCCCAGCCCAGGCCCGGAGCTCTGCAGAGGGAGGCCAAGCCAGAGTGGCCGCTGGCAGGGACCCGGGTCCATCAGCAGTGAATCCTCACCGCGTGCTGGCCAGGCACCGCCTCAGGCTCCCTCCCGGCACACAGGGCGGGGCTCCTCCCTCTGGGCACGGCTTCTGCCCAAGGGGCCTGGGTAATTCACCGAGCAGGACCGCGGGCCCCCCCCCCCCCCCCCCCGCTCCGCTGCGTGGCTGCCCCCTCCCGCCCTCCCTTCTAAGCTCCAGCCATTCCAGGCCTCGCAAAGCTGCTCCTCACCTGGGCCCCCGCCCCAACCCCACGCTACTTCCCACTCCACTCTCAGACCTCAGTCTAACTGACACCGCCTCCAGGAAGCCTCCAAGACCCGCCCCTGGTTCCTGTCCCTTCCCCTCACCCCACCTGTCCCTGTCCGCCAGCGCACCCACTGACTCCCTGTCCCCCACTGACCCCGTCCCCCACTGACTCCCTGTCCCCCACTGACCCCCTGTCCGCCAGCGCACCCACTGACTCCCTGTCCCCCACTGACTCCCTGTCCGCCAGCGCACCCACTGACTCCCTGTCCCCCACTGACTCCCTGTCCCCCACTGACCCCCTGTCCCCCACTGACTCCCTGTCCCCCACTGACTCCCTGTCCCCCACTGACTCCCTGTCCCCTACTGACTCCCTGTCCCCCACTGAACCCCTGTCCCCCACTGACTCCCTGTCCCCCACTGACTCCCTGTCTGCCAGCGCACCCACTGACTCCCTGTCCCCCACTGACCCCGTCCCCCACTGACTCCCTGTCCCCCACTGACTCCCTGTCCCCACTGACTCTCCACTGACCCCCTGCCCCCCTCTGACTCCCTGTCCCCCACTGACTCCCTGTCCCCTACTGACTCCCTGTCCCCCACTGACCCCGTCCCCCACTGACTGCCTGTCCCCCACTGACCCTCTGTCCCCCACTGACTCCCTGTCCCCCAATGACTCCCTGTCCCCCAATGACTCTCTGTCCCCCACTGACTGCCTGTCCCCCACTGACTGCCTGTCCCCCACTGACCCCGTCCCCCACTGACTCCCTTTCCCCCACTGACCCCCTGTCCCCCACTGACTGCCTGTCCCCCACTGACTCCCTGTCCCCCAATGACTCCCTGTCCCCCACTGACTCCCTGTCCCCCAATGACTGCCTGTCCCCCACTGACTCCCGTCCCCCACTGACTCCCTCCCCAGGTCCCACCACGGGAAATTCAAGGGCCCCGCCCAGCCCCTCCCTCCACCAGGCCTCTCAGAGGCAGGGACGGGGTGTAAAAGCAGAGAGAGCGCGGAGCTCCGGAGGCCCGTCAAGCCCGGCAGCCGCAGATGCCCTGGGAGCGCGGTGGCTGTGGGAGCGGCCGCACACAGCGAGTCTGACCAGAGAGCGTGGCTGTAACGGGGTGAGGGGCCGGGAAAACAGCATCGCTCCCCTGTCTCATAGCAGACCGACCGCGTTCTGATTTCACCTCCGCGCCTCCAACAGCCACCGCAGCCGGTTACTGATGGAGCAGCAGGCCCTCCCCGGGAGGCGGCCTCACCGGGGCGGCTCCGGCAGTGACGGCGACGGACACGCTGACGGGTCCCCGCCACACGACAGGCAGCACACGACGTACCGGCACCTCCTGGGATGGCTGATCCCGGTTTCAAACCAGAACCCGCCCCCCAGGGCCCAGGGCCCACAGCCTCCCCGCCCGTCTGCCGCCACAGAGCCACATGCTCGCGTCTTCCAGGAATCCCCTTTGGAACGACGAGGCTGTCCCATCGGCACAGAGGAGCTGGGGACAGAGACGAGGCCGGAGAAGAGAGAGGGAGGCTGGGGGAGGCCAAGGTGTGGGCCACAGCAGCCCTGAGCCGTGGCCCTGGGCCAGACCGGCCGGCCGGCACCCCGAAGGCCAGTCTCAGGGCTGCGGGTCGCATGCTGGCTCAGGTAGAGGTCTGGGGGGCACACTGAGCTCAGGGTCACAGACCGATTCCTCGTCCCCTGAGCGCCGGAGAAAAGGACGGGAGGTCCTGTCCCTGTGTCTGGACCCACCCCTTAGCCATTTGGGGTGCAAGCCAACCTCCGGGGCGGAGGCCTCGGGCCTCCCTGGGCCCCTTCCTCCATAAAAACATTAACGGTGACAGCTTAGGGTTGCACTGGTAGAGGGAAGAACGTATTCCTGTTGTGTACCAAGTGGTTTCCTTGACCTAGAAATTTATTTTTCTTCTCATCTTAAAGGAAATTAAAACATTTTTGTGGGGCCCTGAATGCCTTGTGGGCCCTGGCGTGGAGCCTGTGTCTGCCGGAGCCACGGACCCCACAGTCTCCCACAGCCCCCCACCGCCCCCCACTCTGGATGGGCCTGCGGTCAGTCCCCCACACCCTCTGGCTCCTGGCTCTCCAATGCAGGTGGTCGGGACGCCCTCCCTCCCCCAGAGCAGTGGCTTTGACACTGTCCTGTAGGGGGCGCTGCTGAGAAGCTCAGGGTCACACAGGCCCTGCAGCGCAGTCTGCGCCCTGTCAGGGTTTGCCGGCCAGTCTCTGGGCCAGTAAGCCCTTCCCGTCCCCTGGGGGGCGAGCAGAAAATCAGCTCCACTCTCTCGGGGTCCTGACGGGTGTGGGTCTCGCAGGGGGCGCCTGGTCTCGGGGCCCCGCTGGGCCGTGGGGCCCGGGGACAGCCTGGAGCGCCGCCCGGGACCTCACTGTGCAGCCGGCAACGTCGCCCAGAGGCAGGAGGAGGACGGTGCTGCCCTCCCCGGAGCAAAAGCCACAGGAGTGTCGGCGCCAGACCCTGCCTGGCAGTGAGGTCTGAGGACCACGCCCGCCACCCCCACTCAGCTCCTGTCCGCGCCCGGCTGCGGAACCCGCACCTTAGAAAACCCCGGCTTCCCGATGGCAGGACCCCCGCCAGCTCCTCCCGGCCGTGAGCGGGGAATCCACCGGGAGCTCACTCCCTCCCAGACGCGGGGAGGCTGGAGGGCTGCCAGCTACTCAGCTTCTGAGCAAAGCCAGGCTGGGAGCGCGGCCCGCCCGGAGGACCCGCCCTGTGAAGCCCAGCCGTGGGCTCGGGGAGAGCCGCACCGGGAGCCGCCCTCCTCGCCCAGCCGGCCTGGGGGAGGCTCCCGCGGAGCCCGAACCCCTGCCTCTGAGCACAGGGACCGCGGCCCCGTGGGCCCTCACCTGGGCTGTCAGTCACACGGGCAGCCATGACCCTGCGGCCTCAGATCCTGACCCCGAGGGAGCTGTCCCCGTGGCGCCTGCAGAGACGGCCTCCGGGCACCCTGGTGCTCACGGCCGTGGAAGTGGCCTCGTCTAGAATACGCGGTGTGGGGCCTGTGATGGCAGGTGTCTGCTCCGCCCACCCCATCCCGCCCGGGCGGGCTGGGCAGCAGGAGGGAGAGGCAGCCACTGGCCAGGAGGGTCCAGGCCCGGAGAGGCAGACCGTCACAGCCGGGCCTTCAGGCCGGAGCACTGGCAGGAGGCGTTTGGAATGACACCCGGCGGTTTCCAAGAGCACTGTCCCCGGCTGTCCTCCCGGGTCCCCTCGGCGCCTGCGGAGGCGTCTGCGTGAGCCGGGGCCGCTGCGTCCAAACGGGCTCTGCCCGTGCTGGGGCGGGCACGGAACACTGCCCTCTCTCCCGCCTTGGGCATCCCACCCGTCAGCGGGACCCCACAGCACCCGCCTCCCGTGGCGAGAGGCGGCTGGGTGGGGAGACTAATAGCTGGCTCCTCATTCCCACGTCACCGCCGTCCCGCATCCCGGCCGGCGGGCCTCGGAGCTT